TGCCCGCCATAGCCACAATGTGAGGCAGATTAGACAAGAGGCAGCAGCGAAGGTGCTCAGTGCTGAGGGCAGCACAGATCGTCTGCCAAGCAGCACTAGTTTTGCTTGTCACCCCTCTTCTAACCCCGTAAGAAGAGATCCACCTCTGTGCTGCAGCACCTCGGAAGTCTGAGTCATTGCTTTGGGTAAGGGGCCAGGGCTGTTACTCAGAGGGTGACAGCAGAGTGTCCGGGAGCTGCGAGGCCATGCAAGTGCCAGAAACCCTGAGTCAAGAGAGCATGACTGCTGCGAGTCAGGGCTGATGGTGACACACAGCAGAGCTGGTCAGAAGCAGAAGCATTTGCTGGACGACCATTCAGGCACACACTTAAAGAAAAAAAAAAAAAAAAAAGAAGTCTGAACTAATCCAGAAGTACAGCCCTAATAGTTCATTAATGTAGGATCTTTTATAGCCCCTCAGAGCAGTAGCTTATTATAAGTTAAATTCTTTAACTAGGCTGCCCTGTCTATTCAGAGCCACCAAGCCCAGTCTCATCACATGAGTCTCATTCTAGTGCAAATCATCTGAATCCTTAATTTAAAGCATTTGCATTCCACCAAGTCTCAAACAAACAGCCACATATGCTCTGCAACAGCAGCCCGGAGGTCAGGCATGCGCAGGGTTTGTCCCCACTGGTTTTGTAGTGCTTCAACGGCATTAGCTTCTAGTTTGAGGCTGCAAAAGCAGCACAACCCTGCTGTTGTTACAGAGCATTAAGGAACAAGCTGTAATGAGTGGAGGGGGAGAATGCAGCTGCAAGGATCTAAGAGCAGGCTGAAGAGGATAAATGTTAACTCAAGAGCAAGGAAGTGTTTTGAAGGATGGACACTCTGTTCTGTCTAGCGAAAGCAATAGCTGGGGAGCTCTGCGGCATCAGCGAGCCACAGTAACTTAATCAAGTAATCTTATGAGTCAACTTAAGTCATTTACATTGCAGACCATAGAACCACAGTTATCATGCCTCCTTTATTGGTACAGTTACTATCACTGAATTAAAAAAAATGTTGATTGTAAAGACAAGGTCCATCAATCTGTCCATTTGAGAGAGAACTTAACACACACAAAATGCAACACAATGCAGTGTTAACTTATAGCCAAGTGGATTCAAGCAGCCAGCGTGTTTTCCACGGAGCATTCCCCAACACCAGGAGTCAGAGGGAAGGGAAAAGTAGCTGCAGGAGTTGTGCTGATGTCTGCATGCCAAGCAGCCAGCCAGAGTCCCTCCTCTCCATCATCACTCTGAAAGTCAAGTTAGCAGCTTCCAGCTTGTGGTAGAAGTGGGACACAAGTGTATCAAGAAGGCAGTAAGCCACCACAGGAAACCATGACAAGGCCCCATTAGGCTCCACTTCAGGCATCTGAGACCAGCAAATGGCCTCCCCACCCCTACCATTCAGAGAGCTCAAAGCAATGGTAAAGCCATTAACAGAGGCTTGGAGGGGAGAGGGGAAGACGTACAGGGAAAAACATTTTCACTGTTGTTGGACTGGATCTAGGCTTTTGCAGGACCTCAAAGTGCCAAAGCTTTGGGAGACAACAACAGGAGGGGCAGGGAAGAGAGCAATCATGCTGGCTAACAGCCTTAACTTCCTAGAGTGAATGAGTCTCTGGTATCGTGAGTCTGGAAAGTACCAAGTTCAGCTGCGATTTGCCTCTTGCATAAGCTGTTTGGAAAACTGAACCCCAAGGAAGTGCTCTCCAGCATGGGAGCTGGCAGGCACTTAAGACGGATGAGAACTGGGCAGCAGGGCTGTTTCCCTGACTGTGCCCCAAGCACTGCAGGGGCGACTGCTCCCACCCATGTGGGTACCTCCATGTCTAGTATAGACAAGGTCCTGGGCTGCAGAGGGACCCCGCACCCCTGAACTCCCACCCCAGGAACTGTGCATGCAGTTCGACAAGGTGCAAGCTACTAGAGAGGCTATTTCTTTCTACACATTACAGGCCTTTCATACCCACAGCCAGCTCTAGGTTCAGCTACTAGAAGTCATGGGCTCCTTCCTTTCAGGACTAAGGGACATCACCTTAGACACTGTAATTTTGCTGCTCTGTGTTTTAGGGAGGCTGAAGCAAAGCAAGGATTTGCTCCACATGTTCAGCTGCCCCATGTGTTTGCCAAGTCAGAAGGTAAAATAAAGTAAAACGTGCAGATAGCAATGTCTTGATTTGATTGGGAGGGACAGATGAGAAACTGGGCAAAGAGCTGAAAGAACAGGCCTCGGGGATCAATGGCAGCAGGACAAGCCAAACCGGTTTTAACATTAATAATGCTGCACTACTTTCCAAACACAGCTATCATCAACAAGACACCAGCTTTGCCAATCAGGAGGCCTCCAAGCATGATTGCTTTAAACCAGCAAACAGAGACCACAAACAGCACGAAGCCTCCCCCCTCTCCCAGCAGCTTCTGCATCGGGATTTCTGCTTGTCTATACTGCTAGGAACACACAAACACAACGCTGTGCTGCACAGAGACTTTTTCTGCGTACTGCAAGGCAGAAAAGTAGGACGGCTGCAATGACCTTGAAGCCCATTAGCACTGCTAGGGCCCTGCTGAGCTCAGGGCACTCAGAGCCTTCTTGCAGCTTAGTCAAACATAAGAGCAGCCCAAGCCTGCAGCAGGCAGATACCTCTGCTGCAGGGGAATACCCCCTGCTTCCCTCCTGTGCTGCCCGGGGCACTTCTAGATGCTAAAAACACAGGGAGAGTGCAATAATGCTACTCTGCCCAAGCAAGGCAGACCTCAAGTCCTTCGTCAACTCCACTGATCCCATGTCTTGGCTGCATTGGTGGCTTTCTGCTCGTCCCCAGCAGCAGGCCCCTAAAGCATCTTCTGCAGCAACCCCATCCTCGCACAGCCCAAGCAGAGGGGAGCACCCTGCCTGCACAGCCTTTGCTTTCTAAAGCACTCAACCAGAGAGGGCTGGGGACCACTGGGAGATGTCAGGCTTCAGCTCCAACCTCCACCCCTCCACCCCCAGGAACAAGATGATGTTCTCACATAAGGCTGCTGGGCTGTTGTAACACAACCCACTCACAGCCTAAGCACCAACATCACACTTCAGCACTTCAGTAATATTCCCCACCCTGTTACACATCCAAGATTGCTTCACGTGGAGAAGTCTCATCTACACCAGAAAGCCACGCAAGGGGAAAGGAGCCAAGGCATTTTTGTTTGTACAGGCTCAGGGAAATATTCAAGCACCGAATCACTCTCAAAAGCCATGCTCTTACATAAGCGCAAGAAATACAATCCCCGTCTTGTTAAGAAACAGCTACCTGTCTTCACCCTGCCTGCACAGAAAAACTAAGAGCCATGTACTGTGCAGCTCTGCACGTTTTGGCAGTACTATTAAAAAAAAAATAAAAAAAATATGGGAGGAGCACCAGCAGAGCTCTCCCAAACAGTGTGTCATCCTCATCTCCTCCCCAGCAACCTGTAACCCAAACAATTTGTTTGGATAAGGCTTTATAGTAGGGCAGTGTTACTTCTCAAGCATACACTCCACCTTAAGTAGCTTAAAAGATACGGACAAATACTCCGTACAAGTTCTATATAAGGATTTACAGAAGAACAGAATACATCTGTGCAAAATTTGTTGTCTTTGCAGAAATCCGATGCTTGCAGACCACTCGGTTCCCCAGGGACACCAAGTTACATTTCATACCAAACACAGTCAATGCAACTTCCAGATGCTATCTGCCCCAAAGTTTTGCCCTACTAGTTTGGGCCAGTTCTCAAATGAGCAATTCACGTGCTTAATAGAAGGGATAAAGACACCAGATTAGAGTAAAGTGGATTTGGGCTGGTGGGTCTTAGCACAGAGTAGCTGACAATTACTACAGATGCTCTCTGTGGCAGTTTCCTACTCTACAACCAGCAACCCCCCAACCCTGTGTCCCTATTAGAGGGAGCAGCAGAGCCTTATCAGTTCTGATCTGCCCACCCAGCCTTCAGTCCAGAAGGAAGCAGTGTGGATGATTAAACCTCGTTTTGAGAACCCCTGATCTCCTGCAGTTACTTTAATCTCAGCAGCTCTTTCAGACTAGCAGAGGAATCTGTCCTGACTGCACTATCAGCAAGACAGACACACACAAACGAAAACAAACAAACAGAAGGGAAGGCAGAATTCCAAAATCTCTGCTTCACCATGAAGATCCCATGTGTGCCCAGCTTGAAGCATCCAAACTGTTTCACCTCATTATATAGTTAAGAGACTCTTAAACTTTCCATGGAAATACATCATTTTTCACTCCCATGTGGAAGCAAGGAAGGTTTGATACACAGAGAAGGACACCAGGTACGGGCACAACCAAACTCAGGTAAGACTGGAAAGTCTACCCAGGTGCTGTAATGCATTGCACGTATCTAACCCATCACACACACACAATAAAAGAGGGATTAAAGGATTTAAGTCCATGACCAGCAGTTGGAGATCAAAGCTGTAATGGAGAGCCACTCATTTCTATCACATACCCTTTTACCCTGTACTGCTCCAATTCCACCAGCCCCGATTACAGAAGAGCAAGACGAGGCTCACCACTGCGTAGCGGAGAGAAAGGGACTGGTAACTGACAGGGCAGGAGTCCTGGCACGACTGGGCCGGGACAACGCTGCTTTGGCACCAGACGGAGGCGTGCAAGCCCGGAAGGAGGCAGGGGAACCGGAGGAAGGACTGGGAGCTGCCCTATTGCCATTAACTCATTTTGGCCCCCGCTTCCCCGGAGAAGGACAAATGGCTGCGGACAGATCCCCGGGCGGGCAGCGGCGGCATTAGCTCTCAGGCTACCGGCGAGCGGGACCTGCCGCCAAGCGCAGCCCCGGCCGAGAGCCCCGGCCCGGCGCGGCAGGGAGCAGCCGGGTCACCTGCCCCCCGGCACCGGGAGCACCCTTCCCTCCCGGGGCTCGCAGGCGGGGGAGACCCTCCCCTCTCCTCTCCCACGGCCCGGCAGGACTCACCGACTCGGCGGCGACGGCTTGCAGGAGGAGGCCGAGCAGCAGGGCGGCGCGGAGCACCGGCGGGACGCGGGGCAGCGGCATGGCTGGGCTGGGCTGGGCTGGGCTAGGCACGGCGCAGCTGAACGGAG